TATACCTAAAATACATAAATAAAAATTTTAAAAAGAATTTTAGAAAGCTCCCAAGAAAGCAGGAGTAGGGCATGTGTGTAGAGCAATAAAGGAGTCAGCCTTGTCAGTCAAAGGGCGTTTAATGCTGCCTGTTTTTCGTCTTCCCTTGCCATTCCACTATGTCTTGAAGGGACCAGCTCCCCATTTCGGTAGCCATAACAGCTGAACATGTGCTTGTCTGACCTTGTCTTAGTCACTAAGAGGTCAGATGCCTGCCTTGTGTCAAGGAACCAATCAGAAGTTAGCTGGTGGTGCTATGTTTTACGGCTCTGGGTGTGCTTTATGGACAAGTGCACAGCAATGACGCACAGAGCATAGCAACCACCCTGGGAGGGCCTATGGGCCATAGCAACCAGTTTACCAATCCACACAGAGCAAACCCTCCAAGCCTGGAGCCACACCAATCCTGAGCCTGTGCGTACCCCTAGACACTCCCCTTATGCTGCCCTACAAGATCTCTATGCAGCCGGTTCGAACTGTCTTTTCTAGCCATCCGCCATGGTGGATGGATGAAAGACCCCAGCTAACATGGGATTAGCTCGTTAAACAACTTTAATAAAGCCTCATGCAGTTTGTATCAAGCTTTCAAATCTGCCTGGTGATTGGGGTAACCGAGGTCCTGGGCTTAGATCCTGGAGGCCTGAGCTTTCTGGGGGTCTTACAGTCTAAATGAGTGTTTCTCTCTCCAAGACTTCTAAAGAACTGAAGAAGCCTGTGACCTCCAGAGCTGCCACATGGTGTTGCTCACATTCCTTCACCCCAGAACATTAGCTCACGAGACTAGATCTGATAACTTTTTCTTCCTCTCCCACATCTGCTGGATAAATAGGTGGTAAATCCAGGAATCCTTACATGTCCATGGCAAAAGGAAGGATGGGGGGAAAAAACTCTGTTTCACCTAACAGACTTATTTTTATTTTCTCTAGTTTTTTAAAAATTGAAAATGGAGGGGGCTGGCTAGATGGCTCAGCGGCTGAGAGCACTAGCTGCTCTTCCAGAGGTTCTGAGTTCAATTCCCAGCAATCACATGGTGGCTCATAGCCATCTATAATGAGATCTGGTGCCCTCTTCTGGCCTGCAGACATGCATGCAGGTAGAACACTGTATATATAATAAACAAATAATCTTTAAAAAATAATTGGAAATGGATTCCCCCCCTGTATGTTCTGATCATGGTTTTCCTTCCCTTATGCATTCTCTAGGGGGCAGGGGACAAAAACAAAAACAAATGAAAACAAAAACTAAACCACCTCATATTTCCTAAGTTGGAAAGATCACTGTTGTCAAAATAGAAAAAACAACAACAACAAAAACCATAATCCAAGACACCAAAGAAGATAGTAACAGTCAATATTCATTGTCAGCCTGTCAGGGTGTAGACTCATCTGAGAAGCCCCCGGGTGTGTTTCCAGTTTGTGTTAAGTGAGGTGGAAGAGCCTCCGTGACACACTCTACAGCCTGACCAGATAGGGGAAGGGCAATGGAGCACCAGCCTACTTCGCCTGCTTTCTGACTGCACACTCAGTGTGGCCTCACCCACTTGCCGCCATGCCTTCCCTGACTGTGCCTTCTGAAGCCTTTCCTCCACACAGTGCTTCTTATTAGGTACTTGGTCACAGTCACGAGAAAAGTAAGAAATGCAGTGGCATACCTGTTGGTCACACTTGTAATCTCAGCGCACTCAAATGCTCTTGACAAGTCCTAGCTGTGCTCTTCCCAGAGCTGGGAAGAAAGAACAAGGAAGGGGTGAGGAAGTCAGTGAGGCGCCTGTAATCCCAGCACTTGCCATGTGGAGCCAAGGATCAGAAATTCAAGGCCAGCTTCATCGAAATAGTGCATTCTAGGCCACCCTGAGGCACATGGGATCCTGTCTTAAGAGAGGAGGGCTGGAGGAATGAGATCAAATTTAACCATGAACAAACAGAAGAAATTAATAAAAGTCAGCATCGAAAGCAAGTAAAGAAAACAAAACCATATTTTTTAAATGTATTTTATGTGCATAGGTGTTTTGCCTGCATGTATGCCATATGTCTGTGTACCATGGACATGTCCCGCATTCTTGGAGGCCAGAAAAGGGTGACAGACCCCTTGGAGCTGGAGCTGCCATGTGGGTGCTGGGAATTAAATCTAGGTCCTCTTGAAGAGCAGCCAGGGCTCTCTTAACTACTAAGCCATCTCTCCAGCACCAAACAATAAATTTAATAAAACTAATGGCTCAGGGCTAGGAAGGAAGTGTAGTTGGGGGGCATCTCTGCCCACTGAGGCCCTTTGTTTCAAGCACAAGAGGCCCAATTTCCCTGGAGAGGAATTATTACTTCTCAGGAACCTGGAAGATTTCACCATAGGGTTGCCTGTATTCGGTCCCCCAGGACAGTTCTTTGCTCACAATCTCTGACAATTTCCCAGTACCAGCTCATACCAGATGTGTTCTCCCTACCACACAGTAGTGCTGGTGCTGCCCAGGGTCACCACAGGCACAGATTTCTCACCCCCAGGGCTATAGGGGCCAGTCTATGTTTGGACAACATGAAGCTGATATAGATATCTGGAATAAGACAGCTAAAACAAGGTAGACAATGGGTATCTGGGGGGCTATAAAGCAATACAAAACAGGGTGTCTGGGGAACCTCAAAGTAAACAATGATGTAGTTTGTCATATACTATTTTGATGGTGTGGCCCCTCTGTGTGGTTGCTGTGATAAAACACTATGACCAAAGGAACTTGGGAAGAAGGCTTGTTTTATTTATTGCTTGTAATCAGTTTTCAGGGCAGGGACTCAAGGCGGGGACCTGTGGGCAGAAACTGATATAGAGCTCATGAAAGGTGCTGCTTACCGTGTTTCTCCTCATGGATTCCTCAGCCTGCCCTCTGAGAGCATCCAGGCCATCCAGCCAGGGGTGGCCTTGCCCACAGTGAGCTGGGCCCTTCCACATCAATTATCAATCAAGAAAATGCTTCAAGTCATACACCTTTGATCCCAGCATTTGGAAGGCAGAAGCAGGCAAATCTCTGTAAGTTTGAGGTCAGCCTGTTCTACAGAGAGAGTTCCAGGGCAGACAGGACTACATAGAGACTCTGTCTCAAAAAAAAAAAAAAAAAAAAAAAGAAAAAAAAGAAAGAAAGAAAGAAAGAAAAGAAAAAGAAAAGAAAAAAATTAAAGTAAGATAAAATAAAATAAATGGCTCCACAGGCTTCTCATGGACCAATCTTGTGGGAACATTTTCTCAACTGAAGTGGTAGTTTGAGTAAGAATGGCCCCATAGACTCATATATTTGAATGTTAAGTCATCAGGAAGTGACAGTCTTTGAAAAGGATTAGGTGTGGCCTTATGGGAGGAAGTGTGTCACTGGGATTGAGCTCTGAGGTTTCAAAAGGTCATGTTAGACCCCCGAAAACTCAAGTATCCCGGGTCCCAGGCCAGGACCTTGGTCACCCCGATCACCAGGCGGATTCGAGAGCTTGCTGTAACCTGCAGAATTCTTTATTGTAATTTAACGAGCTAACCCCATGTTAGCTCGGGTCTTTCACCCACCCGCCATGGCGGATGGCCAGAAAAGACGGTTCGAAGCCGCTGCTTTCCGCCGCGTACAGATCTTTATAGGACAGCGTAAGGGGAGTGTCTAGGGGTACACACAGGCTCACGATTGGTGTACCTCCAGGCTTGGAGGGCTTGCCCTGTGTTGATTGGTCAACTTGTTGTTATGGCCCATAGGCCCTCCCAGGGTGGTTGCTTTGCTCTCTATGTCATTGCTGTGCGCTTGTCCGTAAAGCACACCAGAGGTAAAGCATAGCGCCACCAGCTAACTTCTGATTGGCTCCTTGTCATGAGACAGGCATCTGACTTTCTAGTGTCTGGGACAAGGTCATAGAAGCACATGTTCAGCCGTTATGGCTGCCAAAAGGGAAGCTGGTTCCTTCAGTCACACCAAGCCCAGGGTCTTTTACTACTGTCTGAAGATCTGGATGTAGAATTCACAGCTCAGCACCATGTGGGCCTGCATGTCATCAGGCTCCCTGCTGTGATGATAATGGACTAAACCTCTGAAACTGTAAGCAAGTTCTCATTAAATGCTTTCTCTTACAAAGATTGTCTGGGAGCTGGAGAGATGGCTCTTCCTAGAGGTCCTGAGTTCAAGTCCCAGACACCACAAGTTGGCTCACAACCAACTATAATGAAATCTGGTGTCTTCTTCTGGTGTGCAGACATGCAGACAGAATACTGTATACATAATAAACATATCTTTAAAAAAGTATTACCGGCTGGGGTTTGGTGGCGCACACTTTTAATCCCAGCGTTCCAGAGGCAGAGACAAGTGTGAGTTCCATGACAGGCTCTGAAGGGACCAGCTCCTCATTTCAGCAGCAACAGCCTAACACAGTGCTTGCCTGACCTTGCCTTGGTCACTAGATCCTTGGTCCCTGTGGCAAGGAACCAATGATGTGAAGAGCATAGCAATTGCCCTGCGAGGGCCTACGGGCCATAACAACCTGTTGGCCAATCAACACAGGGCAAGTCCTCCAAGCCTGGAGGCACACCAATCCTGAGCCTGTGTGTACCGCTTGACACTCCCCTTATGCTGCCCTATAAGATCTCGGTCCTGTGGTTTCTCAGCTCTCTTCCAGAGGTCCTGAGTTCAATTCCCAGAAATCATATAGTGGCTCACAACCATCTGTAATAAGATCTGGTGCCCTCTTCTGGCCTGCAGGCATACATGCAGACAGAATACATAGTAATAATAAATAAATAATACATAATACATAACAAATAAATCTTTTAAAAAAAAGAAAAAGAATTGATAGCCATCCTACTACATAGTGGTGTTGGATCCAACCTGACCAAATCAGACCCTGCCAAACAAACAAACAATGAAACCACCCAAACCACCACCAATGAAACAAACCAGCAAAATTCATACTCATTATACTGAAAAAGTAAATGATTTTATTTCTATGAGCAGAGTACAATAACGTTTGACGGCCCCCCCCCAAAAAAAAAAAATTGCAGAAAAATCGTTCAGCTGCTTGGATCCTCTTCATCTGTTCCCTACATTCCTCTCCTCAACAGAAATAACCCCAGATCAGAAAATAATCCTGTTTCTTCTTTTTTGGGGGTGGGGGCTGTTGATCAAAGCCAGGGACCTTTGTGTGCAGGTACTCAGTTATTGAACTACATCACGCCGGTACACCCTATTTGTTATTTGTCTTAACTCTGTTCCGATAGCTTAGGCTTTCTAATTCTTCCAATGCCTTCCTTTTTCTGTAGGAACCAAAGACAAAGTGGAATAAACGGTAAAAGAACCTGTGTCAAAAAGAAGAAAAGTGCCCTAAGCCTTATACAATCTCATCTAAGTGCACAGGAACCAGATGGTAGGGGGGGTCGTCTTTCTTCGGGCGTTCACAGGCCACAATGAAGAATTTGTATTTCGCTTCGCTGCTGTAGCGACAGTCGGGATAGGTTTCTCCAGTGTGCGCACAGTCAGTCATGCCGACAGGCCTTGCACTCTCGTGGCAGTTCTTGCGACCGTTCTTGCAGGTGATGTTGGGAAAATCACAGGTAGCTGCCACATTCTGGAAGGATTCATGCAGAAAGGTGTTTTTCTGTTTACAGTGCCGGGTGTAATTGTTGACACCACGCATTGCCGGGTTGCACTGCTGAGGACTTATCTGTATGTGCTGAATTTCAAACCAGCGTGCCTTGGTGAGACCCTTAGGCTGAGTGCCAAGTAGACACTCTGGCGTCCACAGCCCCAGCAGCAAGAGGAGAGGAAGGCATCTGAGAAGGTCTACCGACATTTTTTTTTTCTCTGTATCGGAATAGAAGAAGCAGTGAGAACAATCATATGATTGGTTTGTTGTTTGCCTTTTTTTTTTTCCATCCTTTTAAGATTTCATAGGTCTTAAAAAAAGAAAGCCAGTCTCATAATGCTATGAAAACTCTGAAATCCAGTGAGTAAGACAGGAGATGAGCGTGCTGCCCTGACTGGCCCATCTCGTCGTCTTTGACCTGTGTCAAAGCATTGTGTCATGAACACAATGCTTCCTCCTGTAATCTCTTCAAACATGTTTACCTTCCCTCTCCAGCCAGCATTTCCCAGCCAGTCCCACCACCTGGCAGGGCCTGGAAGCACCTCTCTTACCTGGTGTTTTTGTTGGATCCCTACTGAGAAAGAACTCCTGCCTTTTTTTAAATCAATCTCAGGTTCTGAATGTTTATAAGCTTTTCTTCTTCAAGCCAGTCACAGCTGCCTAATTGGGGCAGGGCAAGAAGTCTTCTTAAGCCCATGAAACAGAAACCTTAGATTTTGCAGAAGTACCATGGTAACTTGGACTCTACCTCCAAGTAAGAGCTTTCAAAGTGAAGAGGAAGCATAACTTCAACTTAAAAAGCAAGAAGGCTCAAAGCTCAGTTTTAAGGACCTGATGTCTTGCTAAGGGGTTAGAACTTCCTCTTTAACTGGAGCTTCAGGGTTTTTGAAGCTCTTTGATTTCAATTTCTTAACAAAAAATACATTTAAATACAAAATATAAATATACAAAAATATACATATGCAAATATGTATATTTGTATAATAGTTACCACCTACTTGGCAATGTGAATTCCTGCAAGTACACATGAATAAATCACTTGTTTGTAATATGTCTATGGGGCCAGATACTGGGCTACTCATATTTAGAAGTTTACAGGTTTACACAGTCAGGTAAATAAGTAAGCATGTTACAAATTGATACCTATGAATAGCATTCACAGTGTGAATCACACTGAATGGGACTGAAAGACACTCCCCCGATGACCCGTCCAGCAGGCCAGGTTATTTGTGGGTCTCGAGGGGGTATCACCTAGGGGGGTCAATGGGGGTGAGAGAGAAAGGAGACCAGGTGGCGCAAGAAGGGACAAGAGTCCGTCTGTGCAATGTCAAGGTATTTATTTACTGGGTCTTAGAGTGGGCTTAAATAGCCCTGCAACAATAGAATTGGGGGGAATAATAGAAGGAATAATAATAATAATAATAATAATCAGGTATTTGTTGGGACTGGAACATTCTTCTTGTCAGCCGGAACATCTAGTGGTCTTTCTTGGAACAGCGAACAGAAAAGCTCCAGACCCTTTCTCGGAACAGAAGCAGTTATCAGTTCCGCTTGGCCAAACCGTATCTAATTACAGGTTACAGGAGGCTCACAGAGCTGGCTTTAAGCCACAAACTTAAAGGTCATTAAAAGTCTTACAAAGGTGGGCTTTAAGCCCATAGTTTTGGGCCCATGGCCCCTTACACCCCAAGGCATAATTAGATGAACAGAGTGGTAAGGACCTTTAAAGGGAGAATTGTGTGTGGAAAGACCCTAGAACACAAAGAAGAGAAAACGTGAGGTACTTGCTTCCGAATCTCTTTTCTGCTCACTACTGGTGTGAAAGGCAGAAGGCTGCACTGCATCAGTTCAAGGAAGGCTTCCCCTGGGCCTCCCTGCCTCTGGCCGTATTTCTCTCTAATCAATTCTGCATATTTTCCCAGATTACTATAGTTCCAATAGTACACTTTTATTCAAAGAGGTGTTTTTGTTTGTGTTTTCAGATAGTGTCATGATGTGTGCCCAGGCTTTCCTGGAGCTCAGTATCCTCCTGCATCCTCCTCCTGAGTGCTGGGAGAGTGGTATATACCGCTCTGCTCACTTTGATTAATCACTACAGAGCAGGGTGTTTAGATGTGATTTAACCACTGTGGTTTGAGCATTTCCCCATAGGCTTGAGTGTGTGAATACTTGGGCCCCAGCTGGTGGGACAGTTTAGGAGAGTTGTGGAGCCTTTAGGAGGTAGAGATTTGTTAGAGGAAATGGGTTGCTGCCAGTGGGGCTTGAGGTTTCACACAGAGTTTCACTTCTTGTTTGCTCTGTGCCTCCTGACAGAAATATTATAACTAGCCTATTCCTGCCATTCTCTCGTGTCCCCCACCCCTGTCCCAGCAAAATGACTTAAGCGGTGACAAACTTAAGCTTCAAGCTAGAGTAAACCCTTCCTCTATTAAATTGATTCTTCCTGAGTTTTTAGTCTCAGAAACAAGGCAAGTAACTAATGATATCTATAGTCATGATAACTCAAAGAAAACTTGTTTTGAAATGCTTTAAAGAGACTGGAGAAATGGCCTAGTGGTCAGGAGTGCATACTGCTTTGCAGAGGACCTGAGTTCAGTTCCCAGGACCTGCCTGTATCAGGTAGCTCACAACCTCTTGTAACTCCATCTCCAGGGAGAACCTGATGTCATGTCTGTGGCCTCTTTGGGCAATAACATTCATGTGTCTCCCTGACCCCCCCCCCACACACCTTTAAAAAGTCTTTAAAAATAGCTTTTAAATCTTTAAAAATAGCTTTTAAGATTAGTTTCTTCTTTGACAATGCCATAAACACACACACACACACACACACACACACACACACACACACACGAACTTGTGCCATGTTGCATTTGTGGAGATCAGAAGCCAATTTGCAAGAGTTAGTTTTCCCCTTCTAGTTTGTTGATCCCCAGAATTCACCCAATTCAGCTTGATGGTAAACTCCTTTGCTTGTGGAGCCATCTCACTGGCCCCTCTTTACTCTCTCTTATTCTCCTCACACTCCCACCATTTCCCCCTTCCCACCACCAGGCACTTTCATGTGTTCCGTTTAAATCTGGTTTTGTTAGTACTTTGTAACCCACTGGTTTCACCAGGCCTGCCTGCTCATGTGGGAGTGGGTATAAAGTTATCTGCTGGAACATGAGTAACTCACAATGGCTACATCACTGAAGACAATGACTTCTCCAGAAAGCCATCAATTATGATCAGCTCCCCTTGCAGGGGACTCATGAGCCTTTCCCCTATCTATGCCTGAATGTTTATGGTCTCAATCTCATGCAGCCCTAGCAAGCAGCCACGGATGCTGTGAGTTCAGGCATGCCATAGCCTAGTTGTGTCTGAAGGACAGCATTACATGGCCATCACCGTCATCATCATCATTGCCGTCATCATCCAGCTGTTACATTCTTTTCTCCCCACTCTTTCTTCATTGTTTCTGAGCCTTACAGAGGATGACATAGGTGGCCCAGCATTTGATAACACCTTGACCAACCTTGAGTCTCTATTAGTTGTCATTAGATGTGATTTTGTCTTTCTCTCTACAGCTTAAAATAAATACACTTTCTTTGTTCTGCATATTCTGTGTATCAACCATGATGTACTGACTCTGTCCTTCTACATCCCTGTATCCTCAGTTTGATTATCCCGTCTAACTTTATCCTGCCTTGCTCTAGGCCAATTAACTTCTTGATTAACCAATGAGAGTGATACATATTCACAATATACAGAAGGATTGTTCTGCAGCAGCCCTCTTCAAGAGGGAAGAGTACTAGAACTGGGAGTCCTCTAACTGGACTCTGAGTTGGATGTTCTATAGGCTGTTTCCCCTATTGGTCCTGTTTTGATACCCGACCCACCCCTTCTCATTATCTCTCCTCATGATACCTTCTGGCAACAGGAAACCATGGTCGCAGGGACCCCGCTCTCACTTTCCCTGTCTACTTGAGGGACTATGAGTTAGATTCCCTGCTAGGCAGACAGAGAAAGAGAGGGGCCATGACCAGATAATAAAGATGGTGAACTTCAAAGAGGCTGGCTCCTTCCTCACCCTGCTGAAGTGAGACAAAGGCCTGACAAGCCTAAAGCAAAGGCCTGGAGGCTTTCTTCCACCAACAGGGCCCCTACCGATGGACTGGCCCTGAGAAAGGCTGGCCTGGACATGCTGACCCCAAAGCTGCATGCCTATCAGCTACCTTGTCTTTATTCAAACTGACAGAAGAAGGAAGGGCCCTCCAGTCCCTGAAAAGCCCTAGTCCTTGAGGAGAGACTGAATTTCCAGATTCCTAAATCCCCTCTCTGCTTTGCAGTGGGTCTTTCCTCTTTGTGCTTGTTGTGAATGCTCACCTGTGTTTCCTCACCCCTAATAAAAGCCTTTCTTGACCCTGTGACTTTGTCTTTTCTATCTGAAACTTTCACTGCTCTTAACTGTTGCATGGGAAAATTTTTCCCCTGCCTTTTAATTCAGAGAAAATGAACCCGATCAGGACAGTGACGTGTCTATGTTCCCCTAGATGTCTTTCATCCCCTAGATGCTTTCTTTGACTTACTTAGTATTTTCTTTTCATAATCATTTCAGCTTGGGTTTTGTTCAGTATTTTTGTCTCTTTACTGAATTATGGTTTTTATATCCCAAATTTGGCTTCTTTGTGCCATTCATGTATCTGTATTCTCTCAGAATTCATTCACGTCCTTGCTGAGTGAAGCCAGTCCTCAGGCAGCCAAGAGGCCTGGATCTGCCTCGTTCTGTTGCTACCTGCTAGGACGGTGTCACTGCTTGGCCAGCAGGCTGACCCGCAGCATGGCACTGTTGCTACTGCTGCCGCAGGATGGCCAGCACCAAGGGCAGAGTGGTGTACAGTAGCCTGGAGCGTGTCAGGTCCTGCTGTTGTTATTTTGTTTAAGTTAAAAAATATAAGAAAGAGGCACAAGATGGATGTGAGATCGAGAGATACATTAACCATAGAGTTTTATTCCAGTGGGGGAGGGGGAGAGAGGGGAAGAGAGGAAGGCAAGAGAGAGAGCAAAGAGAAGAGAAGTTCTACAAGAGAAGAGAGCAAAGAGAATAGGGCGTGAGAGTAGGAGAAGACAGGAGAAAGCGTAAGAGAAGAGAGCGTAATTGGGCAGGGGTCCTTTACACCTGCGTGCAGACTTAGTTCCCGTGGAAGCCTGGGCTGACCAGGGTACTGCCTGAGTGGATTCTGCCAAGTAACAGGACCAGGGCAGTGTAATGCCTGAACCTTTCACCTGCCCCTGGACACACTGCTCTGAGCAGCAACAAGGTATCCAATATGCAGAAAGGTTCATTTTCTGGGTCGGTTCCTCAGAAGACCGCTGTGATCAATGCCACAGTCAGAGGCCATGGTGATGTTCGTTCATGATCTGTGCTGCCACCAGAGAGCACACTGATGTCTTTAATCTGTATTACTTTAGAAATCATGTTAATGTCTGTGATCCATGCTACTGCCGGCTTCTATGGATAGCGGAGGCATCTTTTGCTGTGGGATTGATGACTCGTTACTGAAAATGAGTGATGTTGAAGGCTGCTGTGACAACCCACCCACACACACCAAAAACAGTCCAGACATGAAGCTATTGAAGAGAGTCCTTAAAAATTGTGATAAAGATGCTGAGGTGTTATAGCTCTTCACAGTCAATGGCTTCTGCATGTGTACACACACACACACACACCCACACACACACACCCACACACTC